GCGCCGCACCTACCACAGTTCAACGCCAGGAAGTTCTCCTCCCATAACATGGATCCTTTCCTTAAAGCTCAGGACATAGACGAGAACTTCAAGGTCATTAGCGATGCCAAGGCCAAGTCTTACAAGATTGAGGACAGGAAGCTGGCTCAAGTGGAAATTACGACCAGACAGATGTTCTTCGGCCTCAACAGATCTCGGGCAGTCAACGAAATGCTCATCGCCAAGTTTCGAGACTCCACTGCGGAAGAAGATAGAATGATTTATTCGGCCCTCCTTATGCAGAAGAAGGACCATCAGTTCATGACAGACCACCTCTCATCTATCTCCGCACGGCTAACACTGGCTCGTCGACAAGGTCTCCTCGCCTCCTGCAGTTGGAGTGAACAGTTTACCAAGTCACTCTACATAGCCCCATGGTCAACTCCTTCCATCTTCGCTGGAGATATCGACAAGGTTGCTAAGGAAGTTACCAAAGATTCAAGAGAAGTCCTAATGATCAAGTCCATAGACACTCTGGCCAGCGTCATCAGGCAAACATCCCAGCATTACTCAGGAAGATCCAAGTTTCCTGGAATACAGAGGGCATGGGACAAGAAAGTGGGTAGCTCCAGAGGCGGGAAAGACTCTTTTCACCGCCCTACCGGCAACTACAGAGCAAGATCTGGACGAGGCAGGGCACCCAGAGGCTCCAGTGATTATCAACGTTCCACTCCCAGCCGTTCCTGTACAACCTTCCCAAGTGGGTGGACGTCTACAACTACACTGGGAAAACTGGGGAATACTACAAGATCCATACGTATCCAACATCCTAAGACACGGATATTGCATTCAACTACGGGCCGCTCCACCGCTTACAGTCAACCCTCACAAGTTTGACTTCAAGACACATCAGATAGAGCAGTTATGAGAGGCCGTCTCATCTCTTCTAACCAAGCGGGCCATAGAAATCGTGGATCCAGTCAACATCACACCAGGTTTCTACTCCCCAGTTTTCCTGGTTCCAAAGAAAAACTCCAAAGAAAAGTTCCGACTCATCTACAATATGAGCACGTTCAACAGGGATTATCTATGCAGACCTCCCACGTTGCGCATGATACATCTACCTCAACTAATCCACCTCGTCCGTCCGATGGACTACATGGCCACATAGATCTACAGGATGCCTACCTGCATATCCCTATCCATCCCGAATCGAGAAAGTACCTCAGATTTACACTGGACGGGCTACATTACCAATGGAAGGTCCTGCCATTTGGAATATCCTCGGCCCCATGGTTGTTTACAAGAGTAACGAAACCCATAGTCACATATCTACATCATCGAGGGCTACGCATGGCATTCCAATAGATCAAGATCCAGAGCGTCTCAGACTACAGTTGAATTTCACCATCAATCTACTCACTCAGCTAGAATGGTTAGTGAATCTACTCAAGTCGGACCTAGAACCTACACAGGACCTGCAGTTTCTAGGCATCAGATTTCTCACGACACAGAACCGTATCGTCATGCCAGAGGACCGATGGCTCAAGATTCAACAGACAATCCCTCAAGCCTTACTCTCTCCGTTGCCACTACGACATTGGCAGAGTCTGTTGGGTCTCCTCACGTCCGCACAAGACATGACAGCCAGAGGCAGACTACAGCTACGCCCGTTACAGGTCCTCATCAACGCTCATCTTGACGACCTAGAACCCTTCGGTCTCCCTAATTACCTCAGACCTCATCTACTATGGTGGATCCGGCAGTCGAATGTTTGCAAAGGCATCTATTTAGCAGAGCTGGAGTTCAAGACCCATCTATACGTGGACGCGTCACTCCAAGGTTGGGGAGCACATCTCGACAACTATGTGGCAGCCGGGATATGGAACCAGGAAGAGAGAAGTCTGCACATCAACATGCTAGAGATGAAAGCAGTCATCAATGCCATACTCCATTGGAGCACCATTCTACAGAATGTGCATCTCATGGTACACACAGACAACTCTACAGTGGCGTTTTATATAAACAAGCAAGGCTCAACCAGATCATTGAACCTACTGGATCTCTGCTTTCAACTGTTCGACCTAATCGACGATCTGAACATCCACGTAAGAGCATGTCACATTCCAGGAGCCAAGAATGTCTTAGCAGACGCCACTCTCCCGTCCAACTCAACCATCGCCGACGGAATGGATACTCCATCCAGAGATCTTCACACAGATCATCAAGGAAATAGGAGCTCCGTTGATAGACCTATTCGCCACACGCTTCAACAATCAGCTAACAACATTCGTCTCTCCAGTCCCAGATCCACGAGCGTGGGCAACGGACGCTCTCAGCATATCCTGGGAAGGCCTAAACGCGTACGCGTTTCCACCACCAACGCTACTACCGAGGGTGTTACAGAAAATCAGCCAGACAAGGAACCTCCAACTGATTTTGGTCGCGCCCTACTGGCCAGCGAGAATGTGGTTCCCGATTCTCATACAAGAACTCGGACCACCAATACTGCAACTACCAGAGCGGTCGAATCTACTAGTACATCCTCACACAAAGCAGGTGCACGGCAACCCAAGGGCATTCCAACTACACGTGTGGACTGTATCAAGGCATGTTTAAACAAGAGAGGGTACCCCGCCAGAGCGGCGAAAGCAGTCACGCTTGCTTTACGCAATTCTACACGCAACTTGTACGACGACAAGTGGCGCAGCTTTGAGACCTACGCTGCTAAAAATGGATTTTCAGCTAGAAAAGCAACACATCCTCAAGTGGCGGACTATCTTTGTCACCTACGGCAAACAAAGCGACTAAAAGGGTCTACACTCTCAACATACCTAGCGGCATTGAGCTCAGTTATCACTATGAGGACGCTCTTATAAATTGGAGGACCAAAACCAGAGATTTCAAGCTCCGGCATGGGACCTCAATATCGTTCTCAGATATCTCACAAGTGACGTCTACGAACCATTAGAGACGACATCCTTCGAATTCTTGACACAGAAAACGCTGTTCCTGCTAGCCCTAGCAACAGCAGCCAGGATGTCGGAAATTCATGCTCTAGATTACGAGAGAACGCGCTTTGATGAAAATCAAAACACAGTGCATATGGGACTGCGATGGGATTTTATCGCTAAGAATCAACTGCCAGGTCAACCGGACAGACAATTCCACGTCCCAGCATTATCCTCCGTACTCGGACCACATGATACGCTTGACTTATCCTTGTGCCCAGTGAGAGCATTGAAAGTTTATCTACATCGATCCAGAATGAGGAGACGCAAGTTTAAATGACTTTTCGTCCCGATATCAACAGCGACACCGACGGAAGTCTCTCGCACTACGATATCTATCTGGATAAGAACTGTCATTCTACGGGCCTACAAAGCAGCAGGACTCGATCCTCCAAGAGCCTCCAACCCACACGAAATTAGAGCGCTGGCGTCAACACTCGCTCTACATGGGAATTGCTTGCTTACCACGATCATGGAGGGCTGCTTCTGGAAATCGGACATGGTGTTTGCAAACCACTACTTGAGAGATATCGCCACCGAGGACGTCTCAGGCATTCACCATTTCGGCCCACTGGTTGTTGCACAACAGTTGACAGTTACCCACAGAAGGGAGACGTAGTCTCGCTTTCTTATCACATGACTTATCATGCCTACACTCAGCAGAGTTCTGCTTTAGTCTCAGTGCACGTCTCAAGACTAGCATAAGTGATAAACCCAGTACTTGTAAGTTTACTCGTACAGCAAGGGTCGCTTCTCCACATGGAGTCGATTTCCCTGCAAATTCAAGGGTCGGGCTCATATTCGAGGAGAGTGAAGCATGTGGGGGAACAGTGGCGCCAGTTCCCGCCAAAACAGGAAGGAGGGATAACTCTTGCTGAGTAGTGATTAGTGATTTTACGTACGTTTTATTGAAGGGAGCTTCAATAAGGAGATACAAGTGTTCCACTATGTTCGCAAGAGGAAGAAGACGAGCAATTAAGCATGAGTCAGGATAAGTATAAAAATATCAATTTTATTCAGAAAATTACATTACTGCATAATTTGGCTTAGTATATACCCGAAATTCAGAATTTTCATATACTGTTGTTGAATTTAATGTCTTTAACAAGTAAGACAATGGCGCCAGTAGGATTGTTGTTTCTTCTTTGGATTCCGAGCATGATCTAGCTGGAATATTGCAGAAGGCATCTTTAAACAACAAACAAAGTGCACTCCTGACTGTAGTACATGTAACAAATAGAATCAATACCAAATATTTATTTACAAAATAGATACAATAAACATCATCACAAATCTTAGACTTGTTATAAAACATGTAATATGCAATATCATGTTATAAAAAATTCTTAATACTGAAAATTACTACATTCTCCAAAACTATCTTGAAGCATTTGTTACATAATTGTAAAGATGAAAAAAATATCAAGATGTTACAGACATGTTATAAAAAAAAGAGAGTTTGTTATTTGTGGTGGGATAAGCACAATTAGCACCACGTTTGTTGTTATTGTTTTCGATAATATTCACAAGTAAATGTGATCGGGCAAATATATGTTCAGAGGCCCAGATAAGCTGCGTATCCGGGTAAAATACGCATAGAAAAACGCAAAAAGTTTAAAACAAATGCGTACGGAATATATTTATAAAACCCACTTCGTAATGAAAAAGACATCAATTGCTATCAAGTTGTACTGTTAGAATAGGACTAGTGTTGTATTGTCAGTACAGGATGAGTGATTTTTTCTGAAATCATTTCCATTATATTTAAGTTGGTTTTGATTAGGTATGACATAAGGCAGAACATACCTGCTTAGTAAACTTATTCAATGGCATACTACTTAGGTGAGTAAAATGACTGAAATACGCATATATTTGAAAGCAGTGGGTAACGGAAAATGAAATACCCACTCAACATTCATAATACCCACTCCAAAAAAATACATTGGGTACAGTACCCAGATGAGCTAAATCTTATCTGGAGCTCTGTATGTTGATGCAATATGTCTTGATTTAAAAATCGTAATTCATTACATGAATTGATAAAACTATAGTTAATAACTAATGTTGTCTTTTTTATCTGGGCACATACCATTATTATCAAGGGTACAGCTTATAAGGCCTTATGCAACCAACTATAAAATGTGTTGTTATAAGCGGTTTGTCTTTTGGGAGGTCTGTCTTATGGGAAAACCCCTGGCACAGGTATTGACAATTGATTGTTAGTATTTGACTGTAGTTAGGTGTCACACAGAATCTTTGCATTCATTAAAATGTCAAACCTTTCACAAATCATTGAATTAAATGCGTGATCCAATGAATATGTAGGTTATAGGATTAGGAACGTCCGTCAAGTACTGCTAGTGGAGTAAGTAATGTCCCGAGAGAACTGACTAGGGTTGGCTGCTTACATCCCGGACCTGGAGACCTCCCCACAGATGGTCCCTATAGACCTGGCCGAGGAATGTCTGACACAATCAACGATGAATATGATGGACTTGGGTTGTCATTGACATACTTCTGGATGAAAGTGCATGTTGGTGACATCCTGATCTTTTTCTCTGTGAAGTGTTCCAAGGCAGCCTGCAACAAACGTTTTTGTGCAACAAATGGAGATGTACTGTAAAAATATTAACACAACGCTCCACACATCCATACTCCACCACCCCCCGATTTCCCCTATAACACACACATACACACACATCCACGCACACACTATCCAACCCCAATAATGAATGACAAGTCTCCAATTTGCATGAGTTATACAAAACAATGGCTTTTCAGTCTGATAGAAAGATCCCATGATGAGTCAAGCAAACAGATTCTGTGTCTTGTTTAGCTCTGCTATTATATACATACCTTCGCCAAGAGTTTGCCGACACCCCGTCCCCTGAAGACTGGGGGTACCTCAGTGTGGTAAAGGTCAACGAGGTCCTCTGTCAGCCAATCATACTGAAGCACAGCCTTCTCTCCCGAGATGCCTGGAAACAGAACTTATTTTTGTTGAGCTGATTCACACTACTCACTAGTCTTACTAGTGATAACTGAAATGGACTGTCTCAAAGCAGTACAAACCATTTCACCAATCTGTCAAAGCACCAAATCTTGAATCCTGTCTTGTCAAGACAGCACCATGTGTTTATAAAATTCATACATGCATTTCCATCATCCAAAAGGATGCGATGTGGATTATTAAACATTTTATTTAATTCTTGTACTTCTTCACTAAAGCATCAATATCATGCACAATAATTGGTATTACAGTGTTTCCTATACAGGAATATTCCTTTTGCTCTTATGAGTTTACTAATGGAACATTTATCAAATATTAGTTCCTAATAAATTTTATATGAAAAATATAATATCAAAGTTGTAAAAAACTATACATCTATGGCATATTATCAATCATTACCCATAGCGGGTTAGACAGTCAAGACTAGTCGAAGCCTCGATATGGTCCTAGACCCTGCTGCCTGCATCGCGGCTCTCGGTTACATTGGTTTCCGAAAAACACGTACCGTCAGTGGCGTCAGACCTTGGTCTGAAGAGTCACATAAAATTCTTTTTCACTGACATTGTGCTGTACGTCAGAAATTTCCAATGTCGACGTTTTGTCCATAGTGGTCGTTCTTTATTCATCGACATACATCGACAGTTTACTTCAATTCGTTGTAAAGAAATTAGAGTTACTTGCCCTTGGTACGTACTAAAAATCGACCATACTAGAACGAACGGCGATAAAAGGTATTAAGGTAATGAATGTGTTTCAAATATAAGCAAAAACAGTTATCTGGTTTTTAGTGTTCGAAATAAGCGCCTCCGTAGGTTCGTGGCAGTCTGATGTCGTGCCGCACCTGTAGTATCAATTCAGTTAGGCTTCTATATGTGTCCGTTCATTTGTCATCACAACTCTCTAGTCGCAGTTGGTTTGCATTTGTTTCAATTAATAATTGTTTTGCAAAAGGACCCAGGGTGTTTAGTCAGTGCCTGCAGTGCCTAAATTGTGTGGATCCTGGCATTTGCAAGCTTACTTCAAACACTACTTAGTAAAACAATTAAATACACGGAATCACTCGAGAGATAACCGACCCTAAGCTTTGCTTATTCCGTTTCAGTGAACGGGTTTTGCACAATTTCCAGAAAAATCTACAATTTGTAATTTCATAGTGAGTGAGTGAGTTAGTTTTACGCCGCTCTCAGCAATATTCCAGCTACATGGCGGCGTTATGTAAATAATCGAGTCTGTACCAGACAATCCAGTGATCAACAGCATGAACATCGATCTGCGCAATTGGGAACCGATGGCAAGTGTCAACCAAGCCAGCGAGCCTGACCACCCGATCCCGTTAGTCGCTTCGTGGGTTACTGAAGGTACATTTTAACCCGGATCTTCACGGATTCTGAGTTAATAAAACAACCAGACCAATTATATATGGTGATCAACCTTTGGGGATCTTTTCGACCCAAAAGCACCCACAGAAGTCTCAAAGATGAATTGTTTTCATTTGGAAAGTAACCCTTTGGAATTCAGGGCATAGATTTTCGAAACCATTTGAGTCCTAAGATCAAATCTTGAAATTATCGTAAGAAATGGTTGACTGTCATCACTGACCCATCAGCCTCTTTTATTCAACAATATTCGGGAGAAATTTGTTGAGTACAGAAGTAGGTTGCTCACGTGTAATGTATTTATCAAATTAGTATGATCGCTACAAACAAATTCGATCTTTATTAAAAGATGCAAAAAGAAGAGATATCTATATTGAATGGAATAACACACCTAAAAAAGTTACTGAAAGACAATGCAGTTATAACGACGATGGTTGAACGTCTGAGACTTAGATCTAATGTTTTACAGCTTGTATGGTTAACAAAACATTTAAAAATTTAGTTTTTAAAGAGCATTCCAGAACCACTTTTTAAAGAAGTTGGCGAGTTTAAACTACTTTGTTTGGAATATTTAGCAATATCACGACGGGAAACACGAGAAATGGGCTTCACACATTGTACCCATGTGGGGAATCGAACCCGGGTGTTCGGTGTGACGAGCAAACGCTTTAACCACTAGGCTACCCCACCGCCCCTTGATTCTGAAAAAATGTCCACACTGTAGCTACAGCGATAATACTGAGCGACATGTTCTTGAATGATATAGTCTTGTAAAGGGATGCTCATCACTTATCGGGGCGGTGGGGTAGCCTAGTGGTTAAGGCGTTCGCTCGTCACGCCGAAGACCCGGGTTCGATTCCCCACATGGGTACAATGTGTTAAGCCCATTTCTGGTGTCCCCCGCCGTGATAATGCTGGAATATTGCTAAAAGCGGCGTAAAACCAAACTCACTCACTTACACACTCATCACTTATCCTTAGACTGTCTGATACCACTCCAGAAGAACAGTTTCTTTATTGTAATCCTGGAAATTCCACAGTTGGTTATCTCAATGCAAATGTGAAATATTTTATTTATAAATGTCAAATCCATAAAATTAATCGCAATTTCAACCATTTTAGCAGACTTAAATGTAACAGCTCTTCGAAATATAAAAAATAAACTTCCTGGAATGGAAGAACTGAAGAAACAAATCAGATTATATGAACGATGTCCATTTATGAAAATGACAAGACCGCAGGTGAAAATCTGGCATCGTAGGCAAGTGTATAGGGCTAATGTTACATGGCATTGTATGTGTTCATTGTTATTTATTGTGAAACACTTTCCCAAATGTACGTGAAAAACTAAGTCACGCCCACAAATGCGCACAACTTTCACCGCTTCTGACTGCGGAGGGATCCCAGTTGAATTACAGTCAAGGGAATTCCCTTTGTGCCTACCTGTATCATCATTTACAGGAATTGTGGGGACAATCATGCATATTCCGCATCGTGTAGGCGATGGCACATGAGCCAACCAAGCCTCTTACGACAAACACGCTGTGCAACTCTTCTGATAAGCCACTGAATTTGTGGATGTGTAAAGTTTTGTGCATGAATCTCTTGTTTGACGTCTCACCACAGCGTGTATTGGTTTACAGTGAATGTGAATGTTTCTCGTCACTTTGTCTGCTTTCATTTATATGATTGTATTTTGGTAATTTATTACCACCCGCAATCAGTTGAACGGGAACAAATTCGTACGCTTTCGGTTTTGGGTTGCACAATATGGACTCCTCTCACGATAAAGGGCACGTTTCTGTATTTTTACTTTGTTTAAGGTACACTTCTGTAGTACCTATGCCGATAAGTCAGATGAAATGGGGTCTAACGCCATATTTAAGAATATTTCGCTCATATGACGACGTGCATGCGTGTGTATGTGTGGTTCCTTGTACAAGCCCAGCTGGATTTATAGTGCTAGCCCACTGAGATACCATGCCGCAGTGAAGCATGAATACCCCACTCAGACACAGTATACTGACTCCGAGCGGACCAGTCCTCTTTGTACCCACCCAGCCGAGCGTCAGGCAGGGACCACCAACACGTGCCTTCTTTTAACGTCGTTTGGTATGATGCGTCCGGGGATCGAACCCTCGACCTTCCGCTCTCCGGGCGGACGCTCTAACCACAACACCACAGACGCGGTACAGAGAAGGCAGAAACTTTTTAGCGAAATGTCACCACAAGGAAGGTTGAAGCAATGTCAAACTAATTTACTGCACAAGACATCCGGATCTGAGAAATGTGAAAACAAAAATACTTAAAAGGCATTCATGTAAATCATCATGAAAAATCATGAAATAATTAATGAAAAAAAATGGAATATGCGTATTAGTTCCCACATGCAATCTCTCATTTCATGAAACTAACAAAAAACAATATTGGAAAATGAAAACGCTTTCATAAATTCCCGCTTGCTAAATTTATTCAGCCGCCGTAGTCCATATTTAGTAACAAAAATATATAAAACTCTCAACATCACTGGGCGTATTCAATGACATCGTGTGTTGTGATGGTAGATCTCAGAGGGGAGCTTTCGAACATCTGATGAAAGCAGCAACCTGCTGGCTACTCTGACGTCACAGGGCATTGTTTCGCTAACATTAACATTAGGGCATATGACACTGTTGTGATACGCGAGACGTGGCCCAGCTTACTGAAAGAGGCTGATTTATTTCACATTTATTTTTAAACTGTACATTTGCGGATTCTTACAAAAAGTGCACATCGGTTTTCGATTTATACATTAATAAACAGAAAATAGTAAACAGTCACCCTTATAATTAAATTCAACAACAAAACGTGTTATGTACAATCGTGAAATATTGAATACATATTATTACCCATACGGGTGAGGAGATCACGTGTGATATCTTTTTGATAACCCGTGAAGGGCCGGGTTAGAATGAACCTTCAGTTACCCATGCTTGTCAGATCGGAATCGGGTGGTCAGACTCGCTGACCGGGTTGACACATGTCATCGCATCCCAATTGCGTAGATTGATGTTCATGCTGTTGATCCTTGGATTGTTTGGTCCAGACGCGATTATTTACAGACCGCTGCCATATATAGCTGGAATAGTGCTGAGTGCTGCGTAAAACTCAACTCACTCACACACTCTTTTTCATATTTTGCACACATTTTCATTGGATGCCGGAACTACTTTCATACCACTACGTTCTTTCATAATATTTCATCGATTCATTGATGAAAATTGACCGTGCTGTAACCGCACTGATTCGAGATTTTATAAAAGAAACAAAAAACATACAGGATTTCGATTTTGATGCTAATTTAATGCTTTATTTCATACTTCACTAACAATATTGCGTCGTTTACTTAAAGTAGAAATCAAAATATTAGATGGATGATTATCTTTAATAAATCAATAACATTATCATCTTCGTAGTTGAATGCATGAAATATGAAATTGAACAATGATTCACTATCTCAATAGGCTCTAAAACTGTACTGTGTCATATAAAATTAGGACTTTACCCGATAAATATGTGTTACATTGAAACAAAATACCTGATGCAGCAAACAGTATGTAACAGGCTATAACATGTCAATTCCGTCTGTCAATCAAAACGTGAATGAAATGCACATGTTTTAAGTGGAGGGTCGTCTCATAACTCGTTTGAGCTACAGTCATCAAGATGGACAATCACTGGCTGGACAGCACTCTGAGCAACCCCATCAACCTCACAGTATTCATTTTCAATCTTGATGACATGGTTTTCGGCATTTGTCCATGTTTCACTGTCAATCAAGAGCTTGCTGTACCAATCGTTTCACATCTGAAAGTTTGAAAGGGCTGTTCTTTTTCACCACGAAGTTCTTGCAATTCGCCCATATTAGTTCAATGGGGTTGAGTTCACAGTGTCTCACTGGAGTTCTCAGAACAACATGTCCCTGAGATCCAGCTAGAGCATCGGTTTGGTACTGTGGTTTAGGTTTGTTTACTTTTATTTGTTCAAGAAGTTTTGGTTTTGTGTCTTTGGCATCAAAAGAAACATCATGATCTTTCAACCAGGATTGAATCACACACTTTTTGCTGGCCATGGTTGGGGCAACTGTTGATTCCAGCTTCAAATTATGGTAAGAAGCGTTATCTAAAACAATGACGCTTGGGTTATGCAACTCTGCTAACAGTTGATGTTCCAGCCATTCCATGAAGACTTGAGAATTCATTTCCTTGTGATAGTCACCCTCACTGCTGTTAGCCTCGAAAACAAGGTCACATCCTGGAATCAGTCCACAGTCTCTCCTACCCGGGTGTAATATGATGAGTCTTTTCCCTTTACCTGAAGGTATCTGAGGTGCAGAGGACATGTCACATGGCAGCCACATTCTATCTGTCGAATGATTTTTGTTCACCCACGTTTCATCAGTATACACAATGTCAAAGCCCAGTTCTCTGTACTCACGTATCTGTCTCAGGTAGGCACATCTGTGATTGACCATAGTCTTCTCTTCTCTGAACAAATGTCTATTTTCTCCTCGTTTGGTATATTGGAACCCCATGCCCTTCATGTTAAAGTGCTGCTTGAAACACAAATAGTATCCCTAATTTCACGTTGGATACGTTTGACAGTGATGCGGCTTTTGAACTGCGCGCCTGATTATGCCCCTATCAAAACTGCCAACCACTTTCTTTCTACCTCTACGCTCTTTTGACAGTCCCTCCACTACCTTTCGTCGTCTGTTTATTGATGATGCCTCAGACTTGACTCACAGATAGTCCCACAGCTCGGGCTGTTTTTGGCAATACCCGATTCAAATTTATCATATTCTTCCCCAATTTCTTTTCCCACGAAAAGAAAGAAAATACCCTCTTTATTACCTTCACAACTGATACGGGCATTGTTGTTCCTCTACCCATGTTGATAGCACGTGAGTGAGGACGTGACAAGCATGGATGTTCGAATGTGATTCTATTAGGTTTGAGCAGTTTGGTTTCATCCGCGCACTAATACAGATCAGCTGATTTAGTTGTAAACACAAGAAGATGCGGCGTTTACACTGGTATCACGGGTTAATTATATAATGGGTAATAAATAGAATAATTCACGAGGTACGAATGATTACGGGAAATATGTCCCTCGTGAAATTCATTTTTCAAGGCCCTTTCTTAAGCTCGATCGGGACAGTGAACATTAATTGCATTCGGGACATATTTCCCGTAATCATTAGTACCTCGTGGGTTATTCTCTAAAAATGCTCGCATCTTAAATAACCCAACAGAATGAATCTGATACACCAGTGTGGCAGTTCCGATCAAAAACGGTAAAATGGGTAATGGATACCTTTCTGTTTTCTGATTTTGGCCAGGGTACGTACACAGAAATGTACCTCTGGTACACATCTGTGGTACCCGTGCCGACAACGACCCATCAGCGGTACTAGTCCCCATAATACCCACCATTATATTATATTAGCTGACTTGTGTACCGCTCAGTGACCGCACTGTGATGACGTCGCGGTTTCAAAAACTTGCACATTGTACAGCATGTGGTACACGGGCGTAGGAACAGGGGAGGCTCTACCTTACCATAACTACAATTTCATTTTGATTTTCAATACTAATAATAAATTAGCCCACCCACCCTCCTCTCTGAAAACCGTTCCTACGCCCCAGTGGTACACTGTCCTTATTTCTGTAATAGTGAAAGAACCCAACTGCATACCATTCAGTTTGAGTCGATTATCTTTCCACCATTCTCCTCTTTCAGTAAATCTAAAACGAATCTGTACTAGCTCCCTAGCTTCCTACCTTTCTGTGTAAGTCGCAAAATATATGTTACGCCCATTATATCACGAACGAGAAAACCCGATATCCCTAGTTCTCAAAATCTAAATTATTCACAGATACACCTGATTTACCAAACTCCCCAACACCTCGTCTAAAATCCGGAGACATAAATCTGTCAATCAAAGAAATGCGAATGTCGTAGTGATTGAACTGAATGTTTAATGAACGGGGAAAGACTGTTATAAAACGTTGAGATCTACCTCTCTCGATTCTCGCTTCTGGGGTCCTCCAGCGATTGTCTTCTGTACCAGAGCTACCTTACCCAGGGACAAACGTCACAGTTGACAGCAAGGGTGAGTAGTAGATCGGGGACACGTTTCACGAAGCAATCGTAGCTACGACGGTCGTAAGTCTATGTTATAGCATAGGATCTACGATAGTGGTACCACTAGGATCGCTTTGTGAACAGGGTCACTATATTTACAACGCACGTCACTAAACACGAGGGTGTGAAATGGGCTTTACGTATTGCACCTATGTGGGGAATCGAACTCAAGTGCGCCTAGCACGGTTGCAACAGATTACTGACGTGTCGACATTGCTGGGGTCATCTGGTCCAGATTCGTTTGTTGTACATACTGCCATCATGTAACAAGAATATTCGTCAAACTCAGTCGCCAGTGCGCGAAAAAAGGTTTCCAAATTTTGCTTGACCGTCGGAAAGTTACTAGCCCACAAAAAATTTACTAGCCCAAAAATTGAATGTAGAAACTAAGCAAAAGATTACAAAAAGGCAAAATAGCATTATTTATCAGGTCATAATCTTACATGATTTCAAAGTGTATTATAACTTAACAAGTTGGAGAGAGTGATATTATAGAGAATATACACGAGGTCTCATTACATACGAATCATACGAAACGAGTGTCCTTCCTATGGTATCTGACAGAGCAAAAGCGAGGTCAGAAACCATAGGAAGGTCACGAGTTTCGTATAATTCGCATGTAATGAGACCGAGTGTGGTATTTTATTTATTACCCACGTCTTACATGCATTAAATTGACAAAATAGCGTAGTTTTGGTATTGTTGTGGTTTTAAACCGAAACCGGTTTCATAAAGAGGTTGCGGAAGAGTTTGCATGACGTCACACTGTATTGACGTCACTAAGCCATTCTCGTCTGTCCCCTTGGTAACCGACGTCACGATGCATGTCAGTTGTCATCGCCTCTCGTACAGCCTCCTACAGTAAACTACTCCGTAGCACCCCGTTTCTTGGTTTGCAACTGCTTCACTCGGCTATCATCGCTGGTGAAACATTGCCTTTATGTTTCTAGACGGATATAATGTCTCAGTTCGACTCACAATTAAACAGCGACACGGCAACGTTCGCAATGTTTACATTCCCACAATGCATCTAAGTTGTAGAATGAATGAATTCACGTGTTTGTTATGAATGAACAAGTAGTTCCGTCACAACGTGACCTAACATAGAGGTCATGGGTTATCCAATCAAGTCGTTAGAATCTCAGGTCAAGTCGTTACGACATAGGTCAACGCGATACGACACTCGTGCGACGTACGAGATTAGGATGCAACTATACCATACGTTGACCACGTGGGTAATAAATTTTTAAAATGACCCCATGGGAATTCACTAAGCAGTCGGGCCAGTGACTGGAGATTTACTGACCTGACTGGATTTTTACTAGTCACGGGCTAGCGGGCCAGTGGCTATTTCGCACACTATGCAGTCCTACTTTCTAAAAAAATAAGTTTGTACGTGAGTGACATGGCTCAGGATGGTTTTATCACTTCATTTTTATTTTGGTAAATTTTTATGGAATAATTGCGGTGTATAGTTCCCTGTCATCAACAAGAGACGGTGATCACTTGTTACTGACATCCGACATGCCAGATGATTGCTGAGAGACGGTGATCACTTGTTACTTGACATCCGACATGCCAGATGGATGCTGAGACACGGTGATCACTTGTTACTGACATCCGATATGCCAGATGATTGCTGAGAGACGGTGATCATTTGTTACTGACATCCGACATGCCAGATGGATGCTGAGAGACTGTGATCACTTGTTACTTGACATCCGACATGCCAGATGGATGCTGAGAGACTGTGATCACTTGTTACTTGACATCCGACATGCCAGATGGATGCTGAGACACGGTGATCACTTGTTACTGACATCCGATATGCCAGATGATTGCTGAGAGACGGTGATCACTTGTTACTTGACATCCGACATGCCAGATGATTGCTGAGAGATGATGCTGAGTTGGAGACGGTGATCACTTGTTACTTGACATCCGACATGCCAGATGGATGCTGAGAGACTGTGATCACTTGTTACTTGACATCCGACTTGCCAGATGATTGCTGAGAGACGGTGATCACTTGTTACTGACATCCGACATGCCAGATGGATGCTGAGAGACAGTGATCACTTGTTACTTGACATCCGACATGCCAGATGGATGCTGAGAGACTGTGATCACTTGTTACTTGACATCCGACATGCCAGATGATTGCTGAGAGGCGGTGATCACTTGTTACTGACATCCGACATGCCAGATGGATGCTGAGAGACAGTGATCACTTGTTACTTGACATCCGACATGCCAGATGAATGTTGAGACAGGGTGATCACTTGTTACTTATCATCCGACATGCCAGATGATTGCTGAGATGTTGATCCCTTGTTACTGACATTCGACATACCAGATGAATGCTGAGAGACGGTTATCACTTGTTACTGACATCCGACATGCCAGATGAATGTTGAGACAGGGTGATCACTTGTTACTTATCATCCGACATGCCAGATGATTGCTGAGATGTTGATCCCTTGTTACTGACATTCGACATACCAGATGAATGCTGAGATGTTGATCACTTGTTACTGACATTCGACATACCAGATGATTGCTGAGAGACGGTGATCACTTGTTACTGACATCCGACATGCCAGATGGATGCTGAGAGACGGTTATCACTTGTTACTGACATCCGACATGCCAGATGAATGTTGAGACAGGGTGATCACTTGTTACTTATCATCCGACATGCCAGATGATTGCTGAGATGTTGATCCCTTGTTACTGACATTCGACATACCAGATGAATGCTGAGATGTTGATCACTTGTTACTGACATTCGACATACCAGATGATTGCTGAGAGACGGTGATCACTTGTTACTGACATCCGACATGCCAGATGGATGCTAAGAGACAGTGATCACTTGTTACTTGACATCCGACATGCCAGATGATTGCTGAGAGACGGTGATCACTTGTTACTGACATCCGACATGCCAGATGGATGCTGAGAGACTGTGATCACTTGTTACTTGACATCCGACATGCCAGATGATTGCTGAGAGACGGTGATCACTTGTTACTGACATCCGACATGCCAGATGGATGCTGAGAGACAGTGATCACTTGTTACTTGACATCCGACATGCCAGATGAATGTTGAGACAGGGTGATCACTTGTTACTTATCATCCGACATGCCAGATGATTGCTGAGATGTTGATCCCTTGTTACTGACATTCGACATACCAGATGAATGCTGAGAGACGGTTATCACTTGTAACTGACATCCGACATGCCAGATGAATGTTGAGACAGGGTGATCACTTGTTACTTATCATCCGACATGCCAGATGATTGCTGAGATGCACTTGTTACTGACATCCGACATGCCAGATGGATGCACTCACTTGTTACTTGACATCCGACATGCCAGATGGATGCTT